GCTGCCCACCCAACTTTAGCCCATATTTGGTGATAGGCAGTTACATATGTTTTAATCTTTCCTAAATGAATGTCTTGCATAAAGAGTTAAAAAAGCTTACCGTGCAGAATCGCTTATTCCTTATTTCTGTGTCGTTTCATAATTGATTGGTATTGTTTTCAAACTCTTCTAATGCATAAATTTGGTAGATGAATTGATTTTTGACGCTGAAATAAAGATGGCTTGGGATCGCGAAACAAATTTTGACCAAGCATGAATGAAGTGTTGCGAAAATGTCGAGATCTCGGAAAGAGGAGTTATGGAGTACATTGTACAAATTGTTGCGTGAACAAGTTCTCCGTAGACTGCGAAATGGTGAGGGGCTTTTTCTGCGGTCGATTCGGTTCATTTCCTTCGCGATGACGACCAAGCTGAACAAAAACAAGTGGCTCTAGTTTGCAGTAGAGACACAGCCGGTGATTACAGGGTGGGTGGAGTCGGGGGATGACGTTATAGGTGCGCCTCTTCTGTTTCGGCCTTTGAGGCGGTGACTGTAAAAAAAGGGAAGAAGAGAAGCGCAGCAATGGCGTCGTTCACTGCTCTGCCCTTCCCCCTTGCAACCCTAACGTTATATTCAAAGCAGCTTTTAATTTCTGATGTCGTGTCAACTATTAGCTGTCAGTCAGTTTGTCACAGTTTCGAATGGGATTTTCCGCTTGGGATCCTCTGCCAGGGTACGCCCTGTCACTGGGGAAAGTTTTTGCAAAACACGACTACCCCACAAATTTCAAAGTGCCGTGGAGCAGGGGAGAAGGACCGCTCTCAGAACGGCTAGCAAGTGCGAATACGATCTCCCACTCATGGATCCCCTGCGGTGTGCATGAAACAAGAAGTCAAATATCAAAAGGAATTATTCCCAAGCCAACTACGACCCCTCTCTCGGCGACAAGATACTACTCCTCTGAGTATTACGATCGATCTGTGCTATGAGCGATTTACATTGCGGCAATGGACATGAACTAGCAATTTCGTTGCTTGTTGACTTGACATGCTGTAGCATTTCTATGATAAATCGATTAGATCCTAGTGTGGATGCCGCACCCGTGACCACGCCCTCACTGCATCGCCACCACGTGGACCTTCTTGAATACGAGTGGTGCTGTGAACTAGGAGCTTCACTTGTCGTTCATTTGTAAGTTTTTTTTGATCAAGACGGCTGCTTGTTGTGTGCAATAAAACTCGATGCAGGAAATACGTGAACCGGGGGAAACTGAAAAGAAGATGCGGTAGCTATGAGTATGACCTATCAGAAAGATGGACTGGACACTTCCTTTTACTATTGCTTTTATTTGCTAAATTCTCTATCATCTTTTCGTCACTAAGCAAATCATAAACTCCATGGCACATCGGAGATGTTTGTGCTCACTAGCAATAGAGCTCAATGTTAAAGTTGATCAAGCTTTTTCCAGTTGTGCAGACGGCGTAATCCAATGTGTGGAGGATATAACGAGAGAAAAGCCCGACGTTACACAACTAGACTGTGTCACTCGACCGGGTGATGTTTACCGTCGCCCTCTTCTTCAGCTCTTATCGGCGAGCTCACTCAGCCACTGAGAACCGCGCACGATGGCCTCCTGGGGTGAGTTGTCTGTTGTACTTAAAACATCTTCAAACTTCAAATATGAATTCAAAACGAAGGGCTGCATTGTACCGCTTTCTTACCGCTGTACCGTACTGTTGTAAACAAAGAGAAGGTAATGAAGAATTGAGCTATCCCTGAGTCTCATGTTATGACGTCTTATTCTTCAGCAATGGTTAATGAGAACTCAATATAACTTTTTATTGGTGAGCTTTCGCTGCGTAGCAGCTTCTTCAGACCTACAATAAAACGAGCATACAATACTATAAACCTTACAACAATTCAATTAGTACTCTGGACAACTTGATTGTTGTAAGGTTTAATAGTATTGTATGCTCGTTTTATTGTAGTTCTGAAGAAGCTCTACGCAGCGAAAGCTCACCAATAAAAAGTTATATTGAGTTCTCATTAACCATTGCTGAAGAAAAAGAGAAGGTATGTACATCTTTGGTGAGGAGTCCCTGTCAATGTGAGAAATTGCATCCGCTCGTCACTATCGAGAGCCGGTTGCTTATGCTCAAAAAGAGAGAGTAAATATTGTCATCTACGAAAACAGAGCATATCATGGCGCTTTGCGATACTGTGCAGAATGCATTTCTGTGTCGCACAGGAATGTTTTTCATCAAATCTAAGCAGCAAATCTCTCATATTAGGTTGTCCGGAAAGTTCTCAGCGTTTTGGGTGTTTTATTTTAAACGATCGTAACTTTTTTAATACTCGTCGGATTTAATCGAAATAGGCACCATTCGAATCAGCACACTTTTGCCAATGCGACAGCAGTCGAGAAATCCCATTAAAGAAAAAACTGGGTGGTCGAGAATCCACGAAACCTACGAAGGTCTTTTTGCCTGGTCCTGATTGATGAAGTATTTTTCAGCAACGAAGTTCTGAAAATGTTTAAAAAGGTGATAGTCGGTTGGTGAAAGGTCTGGAGAATATGGTGGGTGTGGTAGAACTTCAACGCCCTATTCGTTCAATTTATGGATAGTGATTTGTGAAACGTGTGGGCGGGCGTTGTCATGCAAAAGAATCGGACCCTTTCTTTTGATAAGTGTTGGCTGCATCTGACAAAATTTTCGGTACAATTCGTCGATTTCTTCACAGTAGGGTTCTGCTGTGATGGTTTGACCTGGTGATAAAAAGTTATAGTGGATCACACCAGCCGATGACCACCAAGCCGTGACCAGAATCTTTTTTCGTGAGAGTTCGGCTTTAAAAATTACCTCGGTGGTTCGTCGAAATCCAACCACTGTCCGGAACGTCTCCTGTTATCACACATTACCCATTTTTCATCACAGGTGACAATTCGGCCCAAAAACAGGTCGTTTCTGCTGCGCAAAAACAATGCAGAAGGAACCTCGAGACGTGCCGATTCCTGGCGGTCACTCCGATTGTGGGGCACCCAGTTGTCGAGTTTTTTTCACCTTCCCAATGCGTTCCAGACCATCTGCAACAGTGGATTTGCCAAGGCCTAGCTTTTCTGCAATCCCTCGAACTGTTTGGGATGGGTCAGCCTTCGGTATCCCCCTAAAATCCTCGTCAGATATTGCTTTAGGTCGACCGCTATGAGGTTCATCTTCAAGGCTGAAATCTCCAGAACGAAATTTGTTGAGCCATTGCCGCACAGTGCTTTCTCTAGCACTATTGGGCCCCCATACCTGGTCAATTTGTTGAGCTGTTTCGATTGCGGATTGCTCCAATTTATAGTCGAAGAAAAAAATCGTCCGAGGTGCTCTTTTCACATGCTTGAAAAAATCTTGAAAAAAGGGGGTTTAGTAAGCAATGATGAAAAGGCAGTTATACCATCAGATAGCGCAAGAAATTCTCTACAAGATGTGCTACTGAGAAGCTAGGCAGAATTAGTTTTTGATCAGCAGTGAATGTACAAAAAATAGGTGCACAAAACGCTGAGAACTTTCCGGACAACCTAATAAAAGTACGGTTCATCAAGATTGCTTAGCTCGCTTCATTCAAGGGGCAACCTAGTATCAAGGCGTGTATCAGAGCCGAGCCACATGAAAAGGTACACATGGACAGCTTTGATCTTTGATCTTGAGCTTTCAATGATTTTATTTGGTCGGCGCTAGGGTCCTCTTCGTAGTCACCTAATGATAACTTATGGTTTTGTTGTAGTCAAAGTCTTGATTAAGTCAATACTGACCTTTAATGTACTGCGAAAGCCATGAATGTTCTCAAAACCGTTTTAGCTAATCAAAGTTCATAAATGTCATTGTGGGAAACTAAAAAGCATTCGCCCTTCTTCTAGCAAAGAAGTTTCAAGTACATAGAAATGTCCATGCTGGTCCTTGAATTTCCCATCGTTCCTGAGCAAACACACTACCACTCGTGCAGGGCGAGGGTCGAAGCCCAGATCGGCTCTCGCCCAGGCCCACGAAACCTTCTGCCTTCTGGAACGGCAAATTGGTACCAGATTCGCCTCAGAGAATAAGAGCCGTAGTGTACCGATTTGTACATCATCTGGCATCCGTAAGCCATTGCATAGGCCACACCCCATTCCATAAGCCACTGCGATGCTGAGTAAAGGTAGTGTGCGTGCCGCATCCCAAAAATGGATTGATCAACGGAGGAGAATTTATCCTTTTTATATATGTAATTATATATGTAACTTGCAAAACATGTCTTTTATCTATTTGTGTGAAGTTCATTGAACCCGGAATCGCTGAAGGCTTTCGGACAACTCAATGTAAAGGTTTCTCACCACTCGGGAAAACCTCATGGTATGATGGCCGTAAAGTTGGAGGGAGGGGGATGGTCGTGTTAATACTAGCGAAAAGGGTAAAAGGATAAGGTTTTCGCCGTTAATCCATCTATTTCAAGGGTGCGGCATGCATTCTACTCCCATTTAGAATCGTAGTGACTTATTGAATGCGAAGTGCCTATACAACGACTTGCGAGAACCTGCCGCTATTTTAGTCGGTGTCCGTCTATCCTTTCAGGCGAACCTGGTACCAATTTATAGTCTCCGGATGGTAGAGAGCCTGGCTAGCCTGGGCAGGAGGTGGTCAGGGATTTAACCACCGAGCCGTGCGTGTGGAAGAGCCGCTTGTTCCTACACCCCCGCTAGAGGTACAGGCATGCAGAAAGAGAAAACGCTGCGCTGAAAAAAATCGTCATTTATGGCGATGATGTTCCCTGTTGCAGTGGAACGGGACTAACAAGCAATCTGTCTCTATAGTTCCGGAGTGGATGACTTATTTGTTGCAGTAATTATTGCTAGCGGCAGAACACAAACGTAAACAGGAACTTTACTACGTGGGCCGAACGCAACAGTTACTTTGTTGTTTTGAAACTGTTTATTTTTGTCCCCTTTTGATTACCCGCTGAACAAGTAAGGGAGATTTTTAGGAAGGCAGTTCATCAGATGCTTTCAGATCAAGAGCTTCGCGATATGTTCCGCAGACACGACAAGGACATGTCCGGATTCATAAGCAAAGACGACGTGCTGTGTATGCTTCTAGGGGCTGATAAGGTAAGTCGAGTTACTTCAAATATTTTGTTTTGAACTTGGTGACTTTGTCATTTCAAGGATGTTGCATAGTTCAAGCCTGGTGGGTGTGGAGAAGCCTGCTGACCATAAGTAACATTCTGTTACAGGATGAACAAAAGGACCCTCTCTTCAAGACTCATTTGAAGTTCCTCATCAATGTGATCAAACAAGCTGACAAGGATGGTGACATGAAGATCAGTTTCGATGGTGAGTTCTGTTACTGGAATTGCTGAAAAGAAAAGAGATCAACTGTGGAGTGGTGAGATATTTTGAAGCACCCTTTTGACTTACCACTTACCATATGACATGGCACATGATTTGTTCCTCATAGGTCTCTGTTCTTCATAGCGCTATCAATAGGAAGGTAGAGAGAAATCCGCGAACAAAGGTGGGGTGGAGACACATAACCAACTTACTTTCTCACCTGCTCCTAGTTATTGTGTTTCTCTCTGACCTATTATCTGCCTAGTGGATTGCAAAATTCGCATAATGCACAGTTCACATTACATATCATCGACTCATTGAAAATGTGACCAGAGTAAATATTCTCGAACTCACTAGCTTTCGATTTTGCTTGAATTTCATGGTCTCACAAGTCTTACTTAGTTACGATGATCTTCCGCAACGACCGGCAGGGCGGAGATTAATAACCACCTTGCATTGTTTTTTACCACTTTCTCAACTAGAAGTCAAAATAGACATTTCTTGGGGAGAGGGGCATCAGTGAGGGAAACAGAATGCTTATGGGACTCCGCCCATCATATCGTCTCGAAATGTGTCTTCAGCAGTTTCTCTTGACTCTCGCCTGTGCTTATTCCTCGCATTTATAACTGATTCCTGTTGTTTTCAGAGTTCAAGGAATACATCAACAAAGCTTCAGAAACATAAAAGCATGGTGTAACTGCAAACGTCCACAGTTAACAACTCCCACATTCATTACATGGATTATTTGACAGTCATAGAAATTAAATAAACAGCGAATATTCAGAAGACTGTACACAGAGTGACCCTTCTATACAAGCCTTATGGAGAACGTGAGCACGTTCCATCGAAGGACAAGCTGGATTCGCAGCAAATCAAGCAGACGAAGAGATTGACTCGGGAAATAAAGCGCCAGGAGAACTATCGCTAGTTTAGTATCCAGGAGGTGTCCGTGGAGGAGGACAATGTTCGCAGCTTCCACGATCTCCCGGGGCACCATCCGGTCCAGGAGGTCCTGCGGCTCCAGGTTTACCATAAGATCCTGAAACACAGCACGTTGAACGACTACATTGTTTGTTCAAAAGCTCTATGTTCATATCCTAATCACACACCTGGATTTCCTTGGTCGCCTTGAGGACCTGGTGGTCCCGGCTCTCCAGGTTGTCCCTTGGCTCCTGGTGGACCGGGTGGACCAGATGGTCCCATTTCTCCAGGTCTACCTGGAGGACCAGCGGGAGCTTCTCCAGGGATGGTCTTTCCACTTTCACCCTGAAAAGGCATCGAATTGGAAACAAGGATTCCTAAATTTTAGTTGTTAGCGCTACAACTACCTACCTTTTCACCGGGTCTTCCAGGATATCCAGGTGGTCCTGCGGGTCCAGGCTTACCAGCAGGACCTTTCTCACCTGGTTTCCCGGGAGTGCCTGGCTCTCCAGTTTCTCCTGGGTAACCTCGAGGACCTTTTTCACCCGGCGCACCTGGAATCCCGGGAGGTCCAGGCGGACACTCGCGGACACATGGCTGTGCTGCTTGTCCTTCAGAGTATGTATCAGACGCATCTGGAATATTTTTGATTTCTTGAACCATTTCTAAGTTTTGAGTGAGTTCTCTCACCTTGTCCAGGTTGACCATTCGTTCCAGGATGCCCATCCTTGCCATCTTCTCCGTCATCTCCAGCATCTCCGGGAGGCCCGGGTGGCCCAGTCTGGCATCCGCAACACTCGGGACCTCCCAAATCTTGTCCTCCCTGACAACACATTGTCAGTCGCACAAACTATGACGCAAGGATCAAAAAAGAACTAACTCCTGCTGGCTGTTCGTTGTAACTTTTTCCTGGACCGCCTTCGCCTGCACCTCCTCCACCTGCGCCAATGCTTGCGCCTCCAACACCTGCGCCTCCAACACTCGCAGCACCTCCAGGGCCTTCTGCTACACCCCCTGCTCCATTATCTTGGTACTTGCCTTGCCTTCGTTCTCGGCTGCAATTTGACTCATTATTTCTATGAAATGTCATAAATTCTTGCGCTAAAATGAAAACAACGCACTTTCCGCTAGTTGAAATGAAGTGGCCGAAGAGCCATCTGCCGGTCGGTTGCTCTGCGGTTTGCCTCTTCAGCCTTTGAACTGTTTCATGATGGCCTTTACCCAACGACACAGTGACAACTTCTCCCCACAGATCCCGATTTCGACTCTGAATAGAATATGAAAAGAACCAACAGAAATGTGAAATTGCGGCGGTCATGTAAAGAATCCGCAATGAATTGTCCAACCTGAAGCAAAAATAAGGCACTGTTCAGCTCACCTTGCAAAAATGAGCATCGTTCAGGAGATTACTGTGCAATTTTTGTACATTCTGATAGGCCAAAGGGATGAAAACGATACAGCCAAGAATGGTCACCGTGGAAATGGTGACCGCCGAGAACGCCGTCCTGAAATAACGAGAATAAATAAAGCACAAAACTTAATAAGTAACTAGAACGAAGAAAAAAAGTGGTCACCTCCTGAACCGGAGCATCTCCGATTCCGCATCGTCCACTAGATGGTCCTTCATGACTGAGATTTCTTCAAGCAGACAAGACAGCCTTTTTATACGTTTGCGATGACCCCGCCTACTTGTCTCAACTATCGCAGTTGAGAATCAGGAGCGTAAGTGTGAAGCGAAATTCGTTCAGAACAAGATCCACACTACAGCCGCTTTGTATCTTTGACAATCTTTGCCGCTTAATCCTGAATCACTCTGTAGAGGAATGCAGTCGTACAAACATAGACGGATGAGCGATTGCACAGACATTCCATTCCTTCGGCAAGCTCTCAAAGCTTTGCTTTTGCAGAGCTGGTCTTCTTGCCCAGTATCAGCACTTATCCAGTTCATAGTTGCATACATTTGCAGGATCAAGCGCTGCAATTATTTTGGACGTTCAGAACTTTTGAAAAAACATCGTTTTTCAGTTCGCGAGAATCCGGTGCTTTGCGGTTGCCGCTGTTCGCACTTCACTGCTCAGTCGGAGTCAAAATCTATAGAACCCAGAGCCGTAGAGGGTCCGGGGTGAAGAGAGTTACAAAGGTAGTTGGTGATGTCACAAGGTGGCCATCACGTCGTTCACTCCGCGGCTCGTCATCGAACTAGGAAACGGCGCCACGTCCCCATTTTCAAGCTCCCTAGACGTGGGAAACAAACGACTTCTTCGAACTACATTTGCCCCGAAAAATCTGTAAACGAGAACGATTCCACGATTTGCTGTCTCCACTTGTGACGAGTAGACTTGCGTGTTTTTGAGCTAATTTATGGTGTAGACGTCTATACACTTCTTTGAAGGTGGGAGCTAAGCTCTAAAGTTTTTCCGAGTTCTTCTAGCACACCGAAATCTCGAACCTGGTCGGTTGTACGTTGTTCAAAAATAAAGTTTTGTAAGAAATGGATTTGTATAGAAGGAAAAAAGTTGAATGGAAAAATGGAAAATCTTCAGAGCTATGCACTGTAGTTAGCATAAAGCAAGTTTTTAGAACCCATTAAAATGCAAGCAACCTTTTGGCAACCCCGAGCCGATAAACTTTTTTTCGATACTGTTCGATTCTAAACGGCGCATCTTTAAAAAGTGCACCACATGCTCGAAGCCGTAGGAGAATGATCCATTGAGTATGATGGACGACTAGGAATTTCAAATCCCTGAATGCCAACTTTTTTGGTTTGGCTACTGCAGCAAATGTCTCGCCAATTCCTGGAGAGGTGGAACCCCAAAGCACTGGTTTTTCTCGTGCGAGGAAACCATTGAAAAATGAATTCCGATGAAAAGGCGCTGTTCGTTCTGGTGGGGGGGGGGGGTGGAGTGAGGCGAATTCGTACCAGTGAACAACTTTGGTCACAAGTAGTTAGCTTTTCGCAAGGCCCAAGGCAAGCTTCGTTGAGTACCATTTGTAGCCCCCACCAAGCCAAACGTTGAAGGGTCTTCATTTCGACGAATGATGCGCTACGTTGCCACCCATATGAAATAATTAATTGATTGGAACACCGGAATTTGTCCTTGCTAAATTTGACCAGAAGTTGTCCCATTGCTAGCATTGAAACACATTTCGTACCTCAGTTGAACTCGAGATACACTCGGAAAAGCTGTAGAGCTCTTTGTGATTCCGTACGCGCTCTAAAGCATGTTATCAGCTAACATTAGGAACCGAACGGCTTCATAATTGAATAAAAAAGAACAGGATCTCTCTGAAAATATTCTACTTGCATTTTTGCTTGTCTACTTTCGACATCTTCGCAACACTCCTGTTTACATTTTAGTGGAAATGACCTCAATTAGGCCGACTCGATTTGAGAGATCTTCGCTTGCTGATTACCAATAAAAGCGGAAATGAGACTTCGAAAGAGAAAACGCGTTCTCTCTGATGAGCTCCGGTTCGAGTGAGTCTTGGTGGCCGTCTTGAAATTACACCAACGACAGTCGATTATCGTGGAATAGTTAGTATAAAAAGAACTGGAGCGGATCCGATCACTAGCCGCTCACATCAGCCGCCATCGATCCGGGCACAGTGGAGTTGATGAGGGATTCAGGAACAGGACGGATCAAAGAATCAGTTGGAACGGTCATCTGACCAGAGTTGGGCCTAAGCCTAGCGGGGGATGGACTAGCTTCTTAATGGGATCTGTAGGACCCGCTTGACCATCTCTGGGTCATGGTCAAGAACTCGCTGAGAATCCTCAACGGAGGCTCGCTGAAAAGCGGACGAGATTGTGCTTGGAGGACCGGTAGTTAACGGTTGACAACGTTTGTGCTGGTTAAAAGCAGAGCTAATAAAGTGGCAGTGTAGCCGAGTCAAATTGGTGAGAACACCTGCTGTACTGCATACTTCCAGGTAAATTGAAACTGTGACAGGAGTTCAGTGAGATTAAGAAGCCTGAGTCCCGTGGTTTTCACCAGGTTTCGCCTACTTTCTGGAAGTTCTGTGTGAACAAAGGTGTGTTCTACTGAAGGGCAACAAGGGCAACAACTAGCACTTATTGCAAGACGATAGTTCGGCCATCGCCTGGAAAATTCTCAACAGCGGGTTAAATAATGGTTCCGCATGAGCGATGATTTTTCAGCGATTAGAGAAGGGAAATCTCCTGTTTTCAGCACTGGTTTTTGCTTTGTTCTGGTTTTTAGACTATCAAAGAAGTGGTTCCTGGAAGATAGAAATTTCGCGTGCTCGAGAAATTTCCGTCGTTACTTCGGGATAATGGCACATTGCCGAACCTATAAGGTTATAACCCTTGGGAAGATGGAGTTTTACAAGCTTATGAAAGCCATTTATTAGATAGTTGTCCACTCCACCACACGCAAATACGCAAAACGCGCGGCAGATCAGGCATACGCCTGACTGTGACCAAGCACGCTGCATGTCGGTCACATTTCATCTTGGTCTTGCGATGAAGACCTCTGGCTATCACAATCCTCCAGCTTCATTTCCGCGGACTTTCGAGTGACGAAAGCAGCAGACTTTCACGCTGCGAGCCTGTCCATCGCCCATCTCGCTTTCGGCAGGTGGGCACACAGTTTGATCGTGCATAAAGATATAAACCACTGTGCTCAAGTACAAATCAGAGGGCGGTGAAACGCGAGAGATCGAATGAGTGGGACGGCTATAGCAGCCCGTTACAAGCGTTCTTACTGGGGAGCACTGGGAGCTGATGGGCGATCTGAAAGTGAAGGACAAAGATGCCAGTGATCTGATGGGCCCAAGGACTTCACATCCTTGTCACCCTATTTCAGATCTCGAATTCAGTGCACATTCTACATTGCGTATCTGCCTATCCTTTCCACAGAAGTGATCGCAGGATATATGGTTTTATAGGGTCTACTGGACCAACCAACCGTTGGTTATTGCACCGCTGGACGCGTTCCACACACACACACACACACAACACACACACACACACACACACACACACACACCACACACACACACACACACACACACCAACACACACACACACACACACACACACACCTACACACACACCTCACACACACACACACACACCACACCACACAACACACACACACACACACACACACACACACAACACACACACACACACATTTCTTTCTGTCACTATAGTACGATCTTCTCCGTCACAGGCGCGCAGACGGCGCAAAAACTATAGGGAGGCTGTATCATTGTTTCCGACAGCTGTTTTTGACTTTTTCGCTTATCACTTATCGGCTACAGCTTTCTTTTTTTATCCCTGTTTGAGTTTTTGAGATAGTAACAGCGAGCTGGAATGGTGGAAGAGCTGATCGCATCGACAGGAACTGAAAACCACCTCATCGACGCAAATCTCCTTACTTATCCTGGATGAGGTGTGCAGGAATGGCGGAAGTACCACGTTTCTGTCTTCGTTCATACAACTAAGGCGAAACATGCCCTGAGCTGAAAGAACTACCATTTCTTCAGATTTGGCAAGCGATGTCGCATATGACTGCAATCATGCCTAATGACCTGAAAACACTTGGGCCAGATGTCGCGCAATGTCTACAAATAGAAACAAAGAAAAACAAACGTTGGGAAAGGAATACACTCCAAAGCACAGATGATCCGTTTCGCCCGTTATCGCAGACGATGTCTTACCAACCCCCAGGCTCGTCAGTGCGACAGGGTTGACGACATGGACATGGACTACATAGAGGAAGGAGTGAAGGAATAGGATAAAATAAAAAAAATGTAAAAAAAGGTCGACATGCAAAATTCATGCAATAAAGATGAGAAGCAATTGTACAGGAAAAATGAAGGAAGGACATAACAGGAGTGAGTAGCAACAACTTGTAAGAGGAAGAAAAATGGTTGTTGTAGATGGGCTAAATGAGCTAAGGGAATATGCGTAAAGGACACTGTCGCAGCAGATAACAAAAAAAAATCAAAGATCGTAGTGGTAAAACGAGAACTAGGGTCGAACACCTCTGCCAATGAGAATTCCTCTAACTAGTCTACTTTTCTTTCTATCTATTTGCAATAGAGTATTTGCAACTGATAAATTTATTTTTGTAAATACATTTCACAATGCTAATAATAATAAAATCTTCTTCCTAGCCATTTTTCGAAAGAGTAGCTATTATCCGTTATATTATCCGTTATTTTGTTTACGAATATATCGAAGAACGAACAAGTATTTGCTAACCTCAACGTTTCCGTATACTTGGTGCTCATCATTGCAGACTGGTGGGGTGGGTGAGCCGCGCCGCGTGTGACTCGGCTGTGACGCGACTGTCATCGCTGCCGCGTCACAGCCGGGCCACACGCAGCGCGCTCACCCGCCCCACCGGTCTGCAATGATGAGGACTGTATACCATTTTCACTTTGAATTCACCCCTTTTCAAACCAAATTCACCCGTTTTCAAACCAAATTCACCCCTTTTCAAAACAAATTCACCCCTTTTCAAACCAAATTCACCCCTTTTCAAACTAAATCCACCCACCTTCCAGAACGAATTCACCCATCTTCCAAATC